TAGACTTTTATTGCAAATATCATGCAATTGAGGAAACATTACATTCAGCTGTATTATTGTACAGTAGGGCTCAATATTAAGCCTTGACATTTGATTGTCATAATCGGTCATTCAATAATCGGTTCAGGTAAAAAGGTTACTTGTCTGGAAGAAACGTTTATTTTTATTTTTATTTCTTTCTCCGTAATTTATTCTGTAGTAATATACTCATCAGTGTTCCAACAGCTCTTATTAAATAAGCATATTTCCCCACTTAAACTGATTTCCAGGGGTTCCCCCCTTAACCACTATGTAGGCCTATGTGTCATCTTTTATGTCAAATTCTTAAACTGTATCAATAAATTCTGCTCTGCTGTGATTATTGTTTGGAAGAGATTTTTCATCGGTCAAATGGTGTCTAAAATGTAGTAAGTGATATTAACTACTTGCTTATTGAACGTATAAAATTGATGTCACATTTGCAATCCTACTGCTATTCGGGAAAACATATGCATATCATATGTTATAAATATGAAAATGAATGTTGAGCCCTGCTTTTACAGTATATTTCCGTGAGTACTTTTGCTAAAGGCATACTTAAATTTCACAAAGACTGACATAAATTTCCACACTGGCTTAACTAAAAAAAAGAAAAAGAAAAGAAAAAAGAAAGATACCTGCTGGCCTGTTCTGTCCAGCGTCTCTTGGGTCAGTAGTGTTCCAGACGTCTGTGTAGAGTTACTCAACATCAGCTGAGCATCTGCAGACACTGAACTGCTGGAATTGAGCTCCACTGACTCTGACTGAAAATGATATGTTCTGTATGTTGATAGACTGTGAATCTGCTCAGGTGATTGATCGTCTTCGCTACTGGACGGATTCTCAGTCACCTGAAAGCAAGCGGAATTCTCGGTAGGAATAATATACACTATGCTTTCACGAGCATTCTAAGAATTGTGCAGTGTTGCCAGATTGGGCGGGTTCCAGCGCAATTGAGCTTTTTTTTTCGTTTTTTGATCGTGCTGGACCAGAGAAAAAAATGGCAATTGTGCCGGTGTACAAAAAATTGGGAAGGTTTTTGAAAATGACTGACGTTTTTGAACATTTTCAACACTTTGAACACGTATAATTAAGAATTGGGTTGTTTCACCTCATATTATGTTTGTTTTGATGCATTCATAATAAATCCATGCTTCTGTTTATGCTTCATTTGTTGTTTGCTCATCTGGATTTAATTTCATATATGTATGTACACATGTAAGTTGAGTTTAATTGGGTTGGGGTCCACTTGTGACGTAATAATATACACTATGCTTTCACGAGCATTCTAAGAATTGTGCAGTGTTGCCAGATTGGGCGGGTTCCAGCGCAATAGAGCTTTTTTTTCGTTTTTTGATCGTGCTGGACCAGAGAAAAAATGCCAATTGTGCCGGTGTACAAAAAATTGGGAAGGTTTTTGAAAATGACTGACGTTTTTGAACATTTTCAACACTTTGAACACGTATAATTAAGAATTGGGTTGTTTCACCTCATATTATGTTTGTTTTGATGCATTCATAATAAATCCATGCTTCTGTTTATGCTTCATTTGTTGTTTGCTCATCTGGATTTAATTTCATATATGTATGTACACATGTAAGTTGAGTTTAATTGGGTTGGGGTGCTGTGAAAAAAAAAAAAACACTACAAAGGGGGGCCATGCTTTCAAAAAGTTTGGGAACCACTGGTCTACCATAGTGATCATAATACAGTAAATCACTTTTTTGACTTGACTCTTCAAATAAAAACTTAACGTCAGCAGGTGGCGACAAGTGGCTGTTAGAATCAGAAAGTTCTTTATTGCCAGGTAGGCTTCAGAATCACGGTATCCATACCGTGAAAATAAAATAATAAAATAAAATAATAAAATAAAATTAAATAGAATTATTTAATTTTATTTCATATTAAATAAAATAAAATAAAATAAAATTAAATTAAAAAATAAATAAATAAAATAAAATAAAATAGTGATTCTCCATTCACAATGTATGCAGAATTGTGAATGTCATGGTCATTTATCCACATGTAATGAAAACAAATAAATGACTTTAATTTAAAAGATAAAGCATCAGCGATGTGGTCACATGAGCCTCAGTATGTATAAATGTATGGGGGCGGGGCTAAACCCCTAATCTATCCCAACCTAGCAACACCCCTGATTCCACCTGTGGTAGGAAATGTCTTTAAATAACTGTTACTCTGAAATCAGAGCACACTGAATGACAATTGAAATCAAATATGGGTCTATGACACCTGCATCGGCATGTGCATACAGGTCTGACCAGGACTTTGCAACTTTTATACTGTCCAGACTGGTATTCTCTCTCTCTCTCACACACACACACACACACAAATACGTTGTGTTTCCATGTTTTTTGGGGACATTCCCTAGGAGGAATGGTTTTCATACTGTACAAACTGTATTTTCTATCACTCTACACCAACCCTGTACCTAAACCTACCCATCGCAGGAAACTTCCTGCATTTTTAGATTTTCAAAAAAAACTTTTGTATGATTTATAAGCTTGTTTTCTCATGGGGACCTAAAAAATATCCCCACAAGGCCAACATGTACTGGTATTACTATCCTTGTGGGGACATTTGGTCCCCATAACATGATAAATACCAGCTACACACACACATTCAACTAATTTTACTTTTACATATTACCCTATTTCTGACTAGAATCTGAGCATATCACACCAGTCCTCGGGTCCTTACACTGGCTTCCAGTTACATTTAGGATTGATTTTAAAGTACCATTCAGCTAATTTTACTTTTACATATTACCCTATTTCTGACTAGAACCAGAAAATCTGAGCATATTACACTTGTCCTCAGGTCCTTACACTGGCTTCCAGTTACATTTAGGATTGATTTTGCATTTATTTAGCTATTACCGCAGCGGAATCAGCTTCCAGAAGAGATCAGATGTGCTAAAACATTAGTCTCATTTAAATCTAGACTCAAAACTCATCTGTTTAGCTGTGCATTTACTGAATGAGCACTGTGCTACGTCCGAACTGATTGCAATGTATTTTATATATAATCATTTTCTATTCTTAACTGTTTTAAATTCATTTTAAATCAATCATTTTACTGTTGCGATTATTTTTAATGATTATTTGACTTGCTTTTATGTAAAGCACTTTCAATTACCATTGTGTGTGAAGTGTGCTATATAAATAAACTTGCCTTGCCTATTTACTTATTTTACTACACCAAGCTAATATTGTTAAGCAATATATTTTGAGATAATCTTCTTTAAGTAGTCAAAAAAAAAATCTCTGGGAATAATGGAAGCGTACATGTGCATCATTATTTTATTTTTGTAATGGATATGCTAATTAAAACATTTCCCCGTTAGTATTTAAATACATTTTAGTTGTAAATATGAAATAATTTATAACAATTAGGTTAGAAAGAAATACCTTAAAACACGCTTTGAATAGTTTAAAGGTCATGACCACCAATTTATCTGTCCCGAGACTACATTTCCCATACTGCATTGCAATGAAAACAGGAAGAAAGACACCATGAGGAAATATTTCCCCAAAATGAATCAGAGAGCGATGGAGGGATATTGTGGCGTGGAATGAGTCGTGAACACAGCGCATCAGCCAACAGCAGATGGAAGAGATCGAGAGAGAGAGGGAATACGTGTTCCATGAGCTGAACTCTGTGCTGGACATCTCATATGATGGAACGGGCGATGGAGCATTTGAATGTACAGCTGAACCGACTGACGCGTTCTCTGCGTCGCGCGAGGACTGTGGAACTCCCAGAAGGTGAGACGTCACGCGATACAATACAAACATTCTTATTTTTGAGGACTACTGAAGTTGTCAATGCGATGCTTGATACGTTGTAATAATCTCGTCTTCCGGCAGGGATTCCTGTCTAAAGGCCATACACGTTCATCCACCTTTATCCATATATGGCCATTTACTACAAAATACCTCAAATTGTATTTGGATGATTCACACGAAAACACGCCCGTTCATATTCCATAACAAAATCAAATGATGAAGAAGGAAAACAATAAAGAGGTGTTGTGGTAAAAAAAATAAAAATAATTGTAAAAAAAATTAAAAGCAGTAACGTTATGCTTTCTCGGCAGCTCCGCCACTACCAGGTGCAGTTAGAAATGTACTAAAAACAAGCCTATCGCAAGACATCTGGTAGGGGGGGCACCTGGGGTGGCCAGCTAAATTTCAGGGGGGGCCGGTGCCACCCCTGGCTACCACGTAGACACGCCCCTACCTAACAGACCACTCAGATCATTAGGATCGAGTCGGTTAGAAATACCAAGGGTTCACACAAAACAAGGGGAATCTGCTTTTAGCTATTATGCGCATTTATTTAGCTATTACCGCAGCGGAATCAGCTTCCAGAAGAGATCAGATGTGCTAAAACATTAGTCTCATTTAAATCTAGACTCAAAACTCATCTGTTTAGCTGTGCATTTACTGAATGAGCACTGTGCTACGTCCGAACTGATTGCAATGTATTTTATATATAATCATTTTCTATTCTTAACTGTTTTAAATTCATTTTAAATCAATCATTTTACTGTTGCGATTATTTTTAATGATTATTTGACTTGCTTTTATGTAAAGCACTTTCAATTGCCATTGTGTGTGAAGTGTGCTATATAAATAAACTTGCCTTGCCTATTTACTTATTTTACTACACCAAGCTAATATTGTTAAGCAATATATTTTGAGATAATCTTCTTTAAGTAGTCAAAAAAAAAATCTCTGGGAATAATGGAAGCGTACATGTGCATCATTATTTTATTTTTGTAATGGATATGCTAATTAAAACATTTCCCCGTTAGTATTTAAATACATTTTAGTTGTAAATATGAAATAATTTATAACAATTAGGTTAGAAAGAAATACCTTAAAACACGCTTTGAATAGTTTAAAGGTCATGACCACCAATTTATCTGTCCCGAGACTACATTTCCCATACTGCATTGCAATGAAAACAGGAAGAAAGACACCATGAGGAAATATTTCCCCAAAATGAATCAGAGAGCGATGGAGGGATATTGTGGCGTGGAATGAGTCGTGAACACAGCGCATCAGCCAACAGCAGATGGAAGAGATCGAGAGAGAGAGGGAATACGTGTTCCATGAGCTGAACTCTGTGCTGGACATCTCATATGATGGAACGGGCGATGGAGCATTTGAATGTACAGCTGAACCGACTGACGCGTTCTCTGCGTCGCGCGAGGACTGTGGAACTCCCAGAAGGTGAGACGTCACGCGATACAATACAAACATTCTTATTTTTGAGGACTACTGAAGTTGTCAATGCGATGCTTGATACGTTGTAATAATCTCGTCTTCCGGCAGGGATTCCTTTTTATACATACATAATATAAATATATACAGTGCACACATATATAATATGTAAACATAAACTTTTATTTTGGATGCGTTTAATCGTGGTTAATCGTTTGACAGCACTAATATATATATATATA